TCGGCGGCAGCGAGCAGGCTCTGGAGGGAGTCGTGGCGGCGGGCGCCACCGAGGGGCTCCTCGACGGAGGCGGGGAGGCGGACGACGTCGTAGTAGTGGATGACCATGCCGAAGCCGTGGTGGCAGCGGGAGGCGACCTGCTGGCCGATGTTGCCGAGGCCTATCACACCGAGGACGTTGCCGCGCAGGTTGCGGGCGTGGGCGGTGGCCTCCTTGTGACAGGCGGAGAAGTCTGCCGGGTCGTCGGACTGGGCTGCGTTGATGCACCAGGCGAGCTGGCGGAAGGTGGAGATGATCATGGCGACGGCGAAGTCTGCCACTGCCTCGGCTGCCGCCAGGCCTGAGTTGCAGTAGATGATTCCTTCGTATAGCTGTTAGTGTACCACTCATAAACTCTCAAGGTAGTGGCTCACCTCTCTCGCCCAGGAGCTTGGTATCAGCCCAGTCGAAGCCGGCTCCGGCACTGGCAAACACCCTGACGGTCGGCGGGAGCAGATCTACCAGCTCGCTGTCCCACAGGCCCATCTCGCCCCCGGTGCCCCAGAACGGGCGGAAGATAGCGTGGAAGTCCCCCCATCGGTTCTCCTTGAGGGCCCTGATGAACTCTGGCCGCTCGCGCTCCTCGGCCGAGGGGCGGACGATGTCGCACTGGGCGCTGAAGAGGGCGTACGTGTCAGGGTTGTACTTGATTGGGTCGCCAATGTGCAGGACCTTGGGCCGGGCGCCGGGGGCCAGCTTTGTGGGCAGGATGGGCGAGCCTGGGCTGGACATGCTGGGGAAGTTGGGGAAGTTGGGGATGATGGGAGTCTGCCTGGGTGCTGGGGAGGTGGAGCGCGGCGTCGACGCCGGGACAGGCGTGTTTGTAGGCTCGGCCATGGCTGTATTAATACTCTAGATGTTCAATGAGCAGGCCCGGGTGCTTATTGTCCGCAAGCGAGGTGTGCGAGAGTGCGAGGGAGAGAGGCGATGTAAGGCGGTCAAATCGGCTGGCCGCAACATCATGCCACCGACAGGCAGGATTGCAGTCGGCACCCAACGGCGAGCCTCTGGATGGGGATGGATGAGCGGGTGACCTGCTGCAGTGCAGCAAAACACAGCGCAGCACATGGGTCCGTCTGCATGAACAAACCCCGCAGGTCTGGTCTGGTCTGGCCTTGCTTTAAGCTTCTGCGCTGCTGTGAGAGGTCCGTCATCCATCAAACGTGGGGGCATTTGCAACAGCAGGCTGACTGCTTTTCTCACGGCCAGCCCATCAGCAGCCGTGAGCGGGTTGATAATTGAGTGTCAGCCCGCTCGCTCATGTATGGTCAGATACCACAGTAGCATTCTACAGGCTCAAGGCATGGCATGAGGCATGCATCCGATTCTCACCCTATAGGTAGATGCACGCCGTCACCTGGTCCGATCTCTCAGGGCCGGTATTCGACCTGATTGATGGATTTTTTTATCCGGGCACACGAGCTCTGCATTGGACCTGAATCGTACGTTTACATAAATATGCTTGATTTATTCCTACGGTACGACCGGCAATTGGCCCGGAGGGAAGCGTTGGTACGGTGGACGACGGATTGCATAAGGCTGGTCGTTCTATGGACGTAATTTTAATGGCGTATACAACAATCAATGCTCGATCCCTCCTCTGGTGGTCGATTGCCTCCCATTCATTCTAAAGCTCGGCCTGAGCTTCCCCGAGTGTTGTGTCCAAGATTGACCTGTCAGACAAGGGGAGTGCCAGCCGCCCAACACTCAGCTCTCTGGGCCATCCTGCGCTCTTGAGTGCACCATCAACGGTTCGGATCAAGTCTGTCCACGAATCACCCCCTATTATCGAAGCACTGACCGGCAATTGCTCTGCTCTACCACTAATGACGGATTCAAATGGAATCTGGTCGACTGCCAAGACGTATTAGCACTGCCGACTCCAGCCAACGAGAACAACAAGTCAAAATACACTTACACGGAAGGACCAAGTGCGACGAATCTAGTAGTACCGGCAGCAACTCATGCGTGAGCCCTTCAATTATCTTGGGATCACTAAAAAAGGAATCAGACATCACCCTGAACTAATCGAATTGCGATAACCTCGGGACTTACTCTAGTTTATCTCGACGATATTGCGGTTGCGAAATACCACGTGGGAACACTACAAGAGTTACAGGGCTCCCCTTGAGTATGGTATCATGAAACCAGCTTCTGAACACGCCAATACGTGACAAATCCAATGTGTTCTGGTCCTCAGTCACCTTATCACCATAATCCCTAACGAAGCCCACATGTCAGAAACTTCTCAAAGAGGTAGAAGGAAAAAGGCATCATACCACCTGAACCGAGTATTCCGTTCGACAAAGGCTTCGCGATGAAACTTGTTGCGATAGTCATTCTGAAACTGTCGATACTTCTGAGCTTCGCGATAACAAAGACTCCGGAATGGAGCCAACTTCATAAACTCTCCGAGTGAGACATCGCCAAAACCATTGGGAGGTTGCGCAGCCCACAAAGCTGCAAGAGTGGTATGCTCGGCTTTGACTTTGAGGGCAGACTCGAGTACGGAGATGAGCTTTTCAAAGGATTTGGACTGCTCACTTGGCAGTTCAGGGCTCAAGTCTGTCAAGTACAAAACTCGGCTCGCTTGAGGTCCTCCTGATTCAGGACTCCTTGGCCCCAACGCTGCTTTGGCGATCTCAGAAAGAGACTGTAATTCACGGCTAATAATTTCCACGCCTTCAGGCCTTCTACCCTTTAGCATTAGCATCGTCGTGCATAAAGCAACACATATGGAATGGTACTGACTGTACGTCTTTCAGTTTCGGGACGGTGGGCAAAGGTAATCGCAGAGAATAGACCCCGCCTGGCATCGCAGTGTTTGCTAATGCTCCGACGACTGATGTACGTTTTAGCCCAGCTTTATTTATACGCCATTGAGTGACCTACCATGTTCTCCCAGCGCATGCTGCAGCCATGGGTAGCCAGCTATAGCCGTCACAGCACCTGGTGAGCTGTCGTCCGCCCTCTGATACCCGTCAGCACGTGGATTCCAGGGAGCAGGGACATCCACCCATTCTTGGCCAGACTCCATTGGAGGGGTCTTCGTCTTGCCCACAATCACAGCTCCAAGGTCTATCAGCCGTCGGACAAAGTGAGCCGACTCATCGGCTGGCTCTGGGTGCAGTAGTTCCCATGAGGCGCTTGATAGAGTGGTTCCCACGCCTTCCAAGGAAGCGGTATCACAAATGGACACTCGAACGCCGGAAAGTGGTTTACTCGGAGACGGATGGCGATGATATAATCGTGAAGGTACGGGAATTGATTTGTGCAGGCCATTTGTCGATAATGCGTTCAGTACTCTGAATCTACAGATAATCAGTGGTGAACGCAGCGTCGAGCGGGTGGGTGGAGGTTACTGTTCAGGCTCATTGACATCTTCGGGAATCACACCAAAGACGAAAGCATCATACTCATCTTCATAAAGCCTCCAAGCTTGGTATAGGTTTGGGCCATGCAAGATGTAAGGTCCTGAGGGAAGGTCGTTGAATCCTTGGAGTAAGGCATCGGATGAGTTCAGTTGGAAGATGTCTCGATTAATTCCCAGCTTAGAAGGATCAGCGTGCCGGCCATTCTCGGCGGCCTTTTCGACCAGAACCGAGCCAAATTCCGGGATGAAAACATCGTCCACGGCGTCTAGACCTGCTAAGAGCCCCTCCAGATCAGGGCTGAAGATCTCATGCGTGGCCAACAGTGTCACCGGTAGGATTGAATCGGGGTTGATGATGGCGGTGATGGTGCCCTTGAATTACCTCAGTCAGCTATTATCTTGCTTTACAAACTACAGCGAGTGAGTGAATTGGGGTGAATGGTTAAATATACCAGCTTCTGTGGATGAATGAGATAATGAATCCCAGCGATAACGACAGTCTGGAGAGAGACCATTTTCGTTTGGGGAGGATCAAATAAATCCTCGAGACCAGTGACTATTCTCAGAACAATCTCAATCAATAAAGGAAATCCAGAGCTGGCATATCTCACGACCAGCTTAGGCAGCACTCGGGGGCCATGGAAGAGTCGTCGGGTGTCAGGGTGGTTGGGTTCACGACTGATGGGCAGTACCAGATGCCTTGGCCGCTGGTTCTTTCTTTTACCTAGCCTACCTTAGTGTCCGCCGCCGAAGAAGTACCTGGACCTCAAAATAAAACTACTTTAAAAGAACAATATTAAGTTGTGAGGCATGACAGCTGGTGATGAAGGTGATGAAATAGGAGGCTGAAGTCACACAGCTGAGGTCTGGGAGCAGGCACGAACGACCAATGGAATGTGTTGGATCTGTTCGAATTATGGGGCGGTGGCATTCTCCTGACCTCTGGCGCATGATCAGAAACAAGACACGCTTCGAACAGCCAAGTCATTGATAGCATGAATCCAGGCGCATCGGTTCCGTTCGCACATTGGGCCGGGAAGCCGTATTGAATGCCATCACATTATGCATGGCCTGACAGCTTCTGATAGGTAATTGTATGGCGACAGACAGGCCCACGCTTTAACTCAAGGGGGTATGGGGTAGGTTGGTGGAAATGGTCACCGCCAGCTCGTTATCAGTTACCGACGTCTCTTATCGCGCGGAACCCCACCAAGAATTTCGAAAGAATCGAAAAACTCCCCGACTCCAAATCGGCCGTCAGTACCTAACCGCCGCAAATACTTATATATATAATTTTAAGGACCTCAAAATGGCGAAACAAAGAAGTGAGACTCTGAATAGCCTAAACTTGGAAATTGGAGCATGAATTCGCTGACCCCGCAACAGCCATATCAAAGCGCTCCCGTACAGCTCGCCGAGCTGCCTCACCTACATTCGAGACAGACAAGGCTCTCAAGGATTACAAGCCTCCCGCCCGCGCCTCTGCCCCCCGCCCGTCGGTCCTCGCCATTCACCAATCCGCAGGCATTGACAAGAAGCCCTCGAAGCGCGGCCGCAAGAGCCAACTCTCCTCCAAAGCCCGTCGCCGCCAAGAGCGTGGCCTGCAGATGGCCGAGGCTATCGTCGAGCGCACAAGCGCCAAGGTTGAGAAGAGCAAGGTCAGGGGTCGCTCCGTCCAGGAGAGGAGCAAGACTTGGGATTCGATCAACAAAAAGGCCCTGGATGCCAAGGAGGTCCAAGCCGACGACAGTGACGACGAGCCTGAGCAGGATGCTTCCAAGACTGCCGAGGACAAAGGCTGGGAGACCGACGAGGATATGGATGGTAAACAGGACGACGCTGCTGCTGAATCTAAGCCTGAGACTGCGGACGAGGGCTATCTCGCAGTTGATGCCGACGACGATGTGATCCTATAGAGCATTCGATTGGCGGCATTCGGTTTGGCATTGTGGTTTTCATTCATGGCGTTACTGGTGCATCGTGGCGTTCAAAAGCGCTGGGCAAGGCGATATAGAAATTTTCACAATTGATTTCTGGAAAAGCCTCTCTTTCTTTCGCCTTTATTTTTATATATAGTCGAGACGTCTCTATCAAGTATGTGGTCGAAGGTCGAATGATATCCTAGTTGAGTGATCAAATAAGCTTCAAAATGCCGAGTTACCGACATATATCTTGGAACAAATCCCATTGTTGGTACACGGTATCCCTCTTAAGGGGATACTCTCAGAGCAGGCAGCTCGCGGGCTTCATGCTTCCAGTTGACGGTCCTGATTGACCCCTCACTTCTTCTCCACTGTCATCCTCACCAACTCGCCAACTTCCCCAGACTCGGCCTTGACATGTCGAGCCCCTAACACCTCAAGATTCTCACGGACTTGCGTCAATACTGACAGCGAATCTTCGCGAGCAATCTTCTTGCCCCTTTTCTTCTTCCCTAGTATAATTTCGACTCTCATCCCTTTTTGCAGAAAGCCGCCAATCTGCTTCATCTTGGTCTTGAGATCGTGGTCGCTGATACCCCAGCTCAGCTCCACATCCTTGCGCTTGATCTTCTCCTCGGCCTTCTTCTTCTCCTGCACCTTGAGCTCCTTTTCCCGCAGGTGCTCCTCCTTCCTATTCACAATCTGGCACACCGGGTACTGGGCCAGCTTGCCGGCGGCCTTGTCTGCCGGGAAGTACGGCTGTATCATCCGCAGCGACTCCTCCGCCGTGTTCAGCTTCGACATGACGAACTGGGGCGCCAGGGGCCCCTCGATCTGCCCGTTCTCCAGAACCATGATCCGCGGGTCCTTGATCTCGTGGTCGCGGGGGAGCCGGTCCCGACCCGACTTCTCAAACGACTGTGCGGTTGTGTAGCGTCGGTCGTACCCCAGTTCCTCGTCGGGGTTTTCGTCGTCTTGATTGTCTCGGGGCCTGCCTCGACGAGGTCCCTGTTCCCGCCGTCGGGGAGGCGGGCCCCTTCCAGGCGCCCCTACTCCGAAGACCAAGGGTCCAGGTCTCGATGGAGGCCCCGCATAGCAGCGAATCTGAGGTTGGGGGATGGCTGGCAGACGAAGCTGCCATACCTGTGCTCGAAGTTGAGAAAGGCATGGGCGGACTGGCTCAGCATGCCGGGTGGGGGAGAAGAGGATTGATCTGGTGATGCATTGTCTGCCGCTCATTGTACCAGACCGTCGAGGTGAAGCTACTAAAAGGTGGAAGTGGTCAAAAAAGAGCTATCAAATCGTATTGAAAGGTTTCGGTGGGGTATGGATGCCGTGTGGAAGCTCAATTCGTTGAAGAGACCAACCGGCAGCTGTCGCTTGGATGAGAGAAGCTGGGATTTTTTCGGCTGAGAACGTCACTGTGGACCTCGACGGCTGAAGCTCATCCCCCCAGCTCAAGCAATGAATGCCGTGGTGGCACGTGATCCAGACTCCCCACCTTGACTGTACCAATATCCAAATCTATGCTCATTTCTACGATTCAATGCCGTTGTATCAATTTCCAATACAAGCAATTGCCCACATCTTTCTACCGAGGTGGTGGTAAGAGACCGACGTTGGTGCTGCAAGTTGAGTTGCGCACTATCTCTTTGCTACCCTCTTATTAGGTAAGCACATATCTGTAAAGCACGTGAACTCGACATCGTCTTATCGATGTTCACAACTAGGTACAATGGTAGTAGGACTTTCAACACGTAGGTAGAATGCTTTCTGTTTTGTAGTCGTTTCAACAGCGAGGGCATGGGTTGTAGAGAGGTGCTTATATAGCAGAATGGCTCGTCGCAGCATGCTAGCACTCACATTGCTACCTATCTGGGCACGTGCGTATAACAGCCCGCCTCCGTCTCCGAGATAAGATCATAGAAGCTGTTTCGATTTGTAAGACACTTGTGCTGCACCACCATCTCAACCCCATTCCGCGATCGGAAAGCGTCGGGAGTCGCCGCCAAGAAAGTCCCTGACGCACGCCATCTGCGACCCTGGTCTATTTTCGCGAGGCTAGAGCCAATGCGCTGTCAGTTGCCGCCCATTGCGCCGTGCTTGGTCCTTTTCTCCAGCCTCCAAAAGAGATGCTCGCAAGCAAGTAATGACTCAATGACTCAATGTACCGTCTACTCTTCTTTGGCAGCGGCTCAATAGTCGGGTAGGTGGGGGCCAAGCCAAATCGCATGGACGATCCGATGGGCGCGAGATGGGTAAAAAAGAGGAAATGGCAAAAAAAAAAAAAAAAAAAAAAGAGGATAGAACCCTGAGCCAATTGTCTTTACCCCTCCACGTAACATCAACCCGGAATTCCCACCACCTCCCTCCTCCTCCTCATCCTCCACTTCACCAACCAAGACCAGGAAAAGGAAAGAAACATGGTCGCTTCCGGCGAACAAATGGCGCAACTTATTGGGCCCGAGTCCTCAATCACCGAGCCAGTTCCCCACTCCGCTCCGGTGCCAGTCTAGATGCCAATCCCATTCCCGCGTGTCTTGCCTGTGACAATGATGCTGTGATATCTAAATGGAGTGCACTACCCCCCCGTCCCGTCCCTTCCCCCCTCCCCTAACCCTACCTCTACCCCTTCATCCACGGGAGAGCTCCTTTATGTCACCTGTCACCATTCCTGAACGACCCAGCCCGACCCCAAGGTTCTTCACATGGCCTCGATAGACCCCGTGGTAGCCGCGGAGGTGGCCAGGCGTTCCGACGATGGCATCGCTTTCCGCGCGCGGCCCGGCCACACTCACCACACCTGGGCGCGCACCTTCTCCTCCCTCCCCGAGCTGTACATCCAGCCCGAGTCCGTCGCCGAGGTCGAGAAGGCCATCGACATCGCCAGGGTGTGCCGGCGGCGCATCACCACCACCGGGTGTGGGCACTCGCCCTCCAACATTACCTGTACGTCGAGCTGGTTGGTCAACATCGACCGGGTCGACCAGGTCCACTCCATCGATCCCGAGACGGGCATAGCTGTCGTCGGCGCCGGCATGCGTCTGTACGCCCTGTGCGAGGAACTCGATCGCCATGGCCTTGCCATGCCGAACCTGGGCAGCATCACCGAGCAGTCGGTTGCGGGGGCCATCTCGACGGGTACACACGGCAGCAGCTCCCGCCACGGTCTGATATCAGAAAACATCGTTGCGTTGAAGATCACACTCGCAAGCGGCAAGACGGTTTCCTGTTCTGCGGACGAGAACCCCGACCTGTTCCGAGCCGCCCTCATCTCCCTCGGCGCATTGGGTATCATAACCGAAATCTCCATCCGCGCCGTTCCCGCCTTCAACCTCAAGTGGGAGCAGACCATCGACTCCGACCAGAAGCTCTTTGACGCGTGGAATCGCGGGTTCTGGGAGCAGAGCGAGTTCGTCAGAGTGTACTGGCTCCCGTACACTAGACGGGCGGTCGTCTGGCGCGCCGACAAGACCGACGAGGAGCTCACGCCCTACCACGCCAACTACTTCGACGGCCCGCTGGGCTTCCACATCTACCACAACCTGCTCGCTCTCTCCAACTGGATCCCTGCCATCCTGCCCTGGGTCGAGTGGTTCGTGTACGGCATGCAGTGCGGCTTCGCCAACGGCACCACCGTCTCCGCCTCCCAGCCCTCCCGCCTGGCCCTCCTCCTCAACTGCCTCTACTCCCAGTTCGTCAACGAATGGGCCCTCCCCCTCCACAGGGGTCCCGAGGCCATCGCCCGCCTCTCCTCCTGGCTCAACCGCCTCACACCGACCGACCGCGGCTACGTGCCACACGGCATCCCCTTCTCCTCCCGGGGACTCTACGTCCACGCGCCCCTCGAGGTCCGCGTCACCGACTCGACTGCCAACCCTTCCCCCCGCCCCTTTCTCGACCACTCCTGCGCCGACGGCCCGACCCTCTACCTCAACGCCACCCTCTACCGCCCCTACCTCCGCGACCCGCCCGCCCGCGCCCGCTTCTACGAGGCCTTCGAGTGGCTCATGCGCGACATGGGCGGCCGCCCCCACTGGGCCAAGAACTTCGAGTCGTCCCGGGGCGACGTCGAGGCCGCCTTCGGCGCCGACCTCGACGCCTGGCGCGCCGTGAGGGACGGGGTGGACGGGGAGGGCATGTTCGTCGGGCCCTGGCACCGCCAGCGTGTCATGCCCGAGGGACCCAGGCTGCCCCGCGAGGAAGTGGAGACGTCGAGGGAGAAGGCGTCGGACGGCGGGCTCCTGACGTTTGCGACAGTCTCGTAGAACATTACTTCCTCCTCTGCCTCCCATCGCCTCAAGCTTGAAAAAGCGAATCCATGAACTTCCCGCTTGTCTTTTCCTCAGCGTTTGCTGCGGACCTTCTTTGCTTCATACGTTCATATAATCAACACGTTTACAGCCTTCGCCGTTCGTACATGCATATTCAAGGCTCGTTCCAACGCATCTAGCGATCGGCGAGTGACGCCATGCACTATATTCATCAACCTCTTTTACGAGTGTGAAGGGCAACCAACAGTTATTAGTGAAATATCACGTCCATACGTGGACTAGATATACGTTTGCGTCTATTGGAAAGGCGGTTTCAGAAAAGAAAAAGAAAAAAGACAAAAATGATGAGGCTTCAGGTGGCATTCCTCTCGGTTTGAGGCTGACCATTTATTTGCATTGTGATATGTATTCACACCCGACTCCCTCTTATATCCACCGAACTCCATCGAACCCTTGACATGCTAAAACAGAAGTCGTCTTTTTTCTGGAAGCTGCACTCTCCATCGCAGCCCAACACTTCGGCCCAGTCCCAATAGAAGCCTGAGACGAAACAATTATGAGAAAAGACAATGCGCGAATGATCCTTTGTCCGTTTACCCAGATGCCAGCTGATGCCAACTAGAAAAAAATAAAATAATGAAATATAGAAGAAAAAAGAAAAGCTCAACCACCCGACTCATTCTGACCGTTAGATTCCTCGGCTGACTTGGCTTGCGGTCGTCCTACTCCGTTCCTCTTCCTCCTCGATCACGTCGCTGAGTCGTGTTGGATGGTGATGGCGGGGTACTGTCTCCCAGCCTGGCGCTCCGTATTCCTCACCTGCGTAGTCTTGGGGATTTGAGTAAGCTCCTGTCCACTGAGGTGTAGGGCCAGTTGTAGAGGGTGGGTCATAGCTCCCACTTGGTGGGTTGGTTGTAGCTGGAGTATCATACTCTTCCTGTTCCACCTCAGATCCTGAGTATGTCGAGGGAGGGGCGGCGACGGGGATCTTGTTTCCATGAACATCCAATAAAGGCACTCCCTTCACATCTTTAACGAACTCATTATCGCTTGTCCCGCCCTCCGAGGTTGCACGGTAATGGCCCCGCGCGGACTGTGAGCCAGCTTCCGGTTGGCCATATTGGGCTCCGCTGGGGCCAGCTGAGGCTGCGGACGATTGGGCGACGTTAGTCTGACTTCCGTGATATGACTGGCTATATTCTGCCTGCTGAGCTGCTTGATCTCGCAGGCCATGCGTCATTGGAACAACTTGAACCCCTCCAACAATGGTTGGTTGTCCAGTTTGTAGTGATAACAGTCTCTCTCTCTCACCCTGCTCTCGACGGCCGAGCTCCTCCCAGGCCCGTCTAGCTTCATCTTTGGAGATGGCAAGCTCTTTGCGCATCTCCGCAAGCTGCTTCTGCGCTAGTGAGCTCCCTTGCTCCTTTTCAACAGCTTCACGAATAGCCTCGTCCCGGTTACGTCGTTCTTGATCCAGAGCATTTTCCAGCATTGAGTTCACTTCCTGTGCTCGTTCCAGTTCTGCTCTGGTTTCAAAGAACCACCTCTGGAACTTGCGCTCTGAGCTTGCGCGGAGTCGTTGCAATTCCACGACAGCGTGGAAAAGATTTGCTCCTGCGGCAGAAAGATCTGTTACTTGGCGACTCAATTGCTGGTTGATAGGATCGCGGTTCACAGCGTCCTTATTTTGCTCCAGCTTGTGGATCCAATAGCTTGTCAAGCCCTCCCAATGCGCTGATAACGTCTCCCATCGCTCGAAGGCGTGTGGGAAAGAGTTTCGAGGTTTTGAGCTGCCGGATGTTCCTCCAGTTTGTGTTGAACTCTCACCGGCTTGGCCTGTTGTGGTCGGCCGCTGTTGTTGTTGCTGGGCGTGTTGTTGATGGGGCTGATATTGCGAAGGGAGTTGCTGGTTTGCAGCGTATCGTGAGGTGTTGGTGCGTTGATGGGAGGCTATTTGCTGTGGGGTGGTTGGCTCTGCCCCGGAGGGTGGCGATGACTCGTGGACAGCATGTCCGCGATGTGTGCTGGAAGGGTGTTGAGCGGGTAGTTTGCCACTGGGGCCATGAGCAACGCCAGCAGACCGATGGTCTGCACTTCGCTGTGCTTCTTCTCTCTGTCGCGTCTCCTGTTCCAATTGCTTCTCAGCCTCTGCTCTCTGCACGCGCGCTGCCTCTCTGGCGGCGCGCTCCTGCATGATCATTCTAGGGCCTCTGATCCCAGGTGAACCTCTGGGGTTTGGAGAGGCTGTAGGGCGTTGTGGTGCTGGTAGGCTACCCCCATTAGAAGTGATGGGAGCTCCGCCACTACTCATGAGGTCAGCCATGCTGGCAGACTCCTCCTCGAGGTCGGGCGTAAATTGGTTTGGTTGTCGAAGAGCTTCTTCAAGGGTGAAAAGAATTGCACTGTGGGTATGCTTGGTAATTCGAACCACAGGGTGCACAGGATATGGATCTTGTGAAGCTTTGGGATCCTGTGATGGGGATAACTCCGAAGATTGCTCGTCGGGATCTTCGCCAAGTTCTTGCGAGAGGACTCGCCGTGTCCTGTGCCTTGTCGATCGCTCTCTGGCGGCTGGTCGCAAGTCAGGCTCCTTTTTCTCCGGGTTCGACGGCGCTGGATTACCCCGCTGGCGCGAATGCTGAGAGCTAAGAGCGGCGAGAGTGTTTGCGATGTGGGCCTGGCGAGTTCTTGGACTTGGGGTTGCCTCGAATTTCGGGGTTCGACGAAGTCGGTGGGAGGAACCAGGTGATGGGAATCCCTCAGGGTCTGGAGTTGTCACCCGTTGTTGTTGCAGCGGCGTCGGCTGCTGGCGTTGCTGGTAGTCGAGCGAAGTCGTGGGCTCGTGGGTCTCGTGACGGTCGTAAGAAGATGGGTGACGTGTGTGAGACAACTCTGCGGTTTGAAGACGTCCCGAGGATGCTGTCGACAATGCGGCAATTGAATCACCGCCAGGCGTCTAGCGGCGATCTATAAAACTCAATTACCGCCGGCGGGATATCCGAGCACTATACACACTTGGGGTGGTGTAACAAGTTTGGGTTGCGTTGCGGTGTTGGAGATCTGCGGTGAAGATTGGCTTTGGTGGATGGTGCTAAAGAGGCGATGATGCACCAAGACACCGTCACACCAGCAATGGGTTTCAGCACAAGAGAGCAACTGCTGAGTGAAGTCACAACAGAAAATGGGAGAGTGTATGGCTGCAAGCAAAAGGAAGAGTGAGCAGAAAAGAATTGGAGAACCGCGTCGAGTCGTTTGCCGGGGATCCCAGGTGTGCCCAAAATGTGGTGGCAGGAGAGGTTGGGAAATTTGGGGGGCTGGTGAGCGAGCTGCCACAACGGCCGCTGGCGGAGCGCCACAACCGGTTCTCGACTCTGCTGTGATTTGCTTATTACTCGAGCAGCACCCGCGGCGTCAACGGTTCAAGCGAAACGGTTTGCCAACGCAGCAAGCAGCGGGGGAAAAACAGGCCGACTGATGCAGCGCGCACAACACAACCAGTCAGTGTGCGACACCAGAGTTAGTCGCGATTGAAGTCGATTGCGTCCAGACCGGCGGGTGGATCGAAGCAGCAGAGAGCCACCCAGCTACAGCAAGGCGTCTGCAGTCTGTCGTCCGCTTTATGTAGCCCGCCAGACAGACAGTTCGCCCTCGTCAATCGATGCGCGCAGAGGAAAGGGGAGAGGGAAAGCTGGTGATGGCGAAACCCAATGGGTTTTTGGGCGTCGCTGGGCTGAGCAGCAGCTGAGCAGCGCTGCTGCTCCTGGTTTCGAGGGCTGCCCAGCCACAGAGGATTAGGTTGGGTCAATTGGCGATCGGACTGGCGCGCACTTCTCCTGTAGGTCATGCTCGCAGCAACGCAGCCACGAACAGGTCAATTCATGCCGTGGGAGGCAGTTCGAGAGAGAACTGGCGACCCGGATGCGCAGCACTAGAAATGCGACAGAGCAGAGAAGGGTCCGCGCAAAGATACATGGAATCCATCGGCCACTGGGCAAGACGGACGGGCCACCAACCCCAGCGAGGCCGTCAGACTGTGGAGAAGCCGAGTCACCACAGATGCTACATGTCGCCTGCCACTAGCACCTTGCGGTATTAGCAAGGAAGTGCCTGGCGATATTACATGTGCCAGCGCGCTGGGACCTCCCTCGACGCTAAGCAGGGCACCGCGACCACCAACCCAACCTTACCCTGCCTGGCGCCTGAACGCCGAAGGGCTGGCTGGATTTTCCCGTTGTGGTACCATTACGTAGCTGCGTCGAGCTAGATGTCATCATTCCTTCTCTCCCCGGCGACTAGCTCCTGCTTCGAGCTATCCAAGCTGCCCGGGCTGTGCCCCTTGGCACTATTCCAGCTGTCTGGACCGCTGGAAGACCGATCTGATCTGATGGAAGCACTCACCGTACTTTGATCGCATGCAAATCATAGCACCCAAATGCACTCTGCACACTCTGCATGACACGTAGGGACCAACTCAGACTGCTACGCTACCCAAATGGCAATGCGCGCGCCGAGGCGACGCAAGTGCCCGTAGCGCAACGCTGGACTGAGCTCCAGGGCTCTTTCCGCCCGTCGGGCCGCCAGCCACTACACAAGGAGTCTCTAAAAGTACCTGTAGTAGCTCTTCGCCCGCAAAAGATACATACACGGTACCTCCAGGTCCCGTTCCAGCACCGCGACACCCGCCATCGCCTAGGCGCCTTAGGGACTTAGGCAGGCAGGCGTCCAAGTGATAGCCCGGGCGCTATCTGCAAGGACCGGGCCTCCAATGCCCTTTTGGCTGCAATTTATCGCTGAGATTAAATGCCCTGCGACCTGACCATTTGCCTTTGATAATCACCTTATGTCCTCATCATGACCGCCTCACTTTTCCGAAACCTACATTGCCGCCCAGAGCGAGCTGTCCAACATGCCACACTGTAATGAGCATCATTCTCCCATTCGCTCCCTACGAAGTATCATCGGTGAATGATTTGATTATTTTCGATGCTGGACACTCCACAGACGGGACGGGAAAAGCAAGCAATCAAAGTGTACGAAAGATCTGCCAGGGGTCCCTGAGATCCGAGACAGCCATGTGAGACACACTGCAAGATGTCCCCATGTAGCTCGTACTCCGGCCCATCTTCTGTACCTAATAAAGATGATGGCCAGAAGCTCAAATGTTACGAGAAAAAGCAATGCCGGTGGGTCATTCATCTCAGTCACGACTGTCGCGTTCTGGACGCGTCTACACAATGAAGCCTTTGTGTGATGAGACAGGGTACGGCAGGGCAGCCCATGTCGTGGAAATTGAATTGATCATCTGTGGAGGCCAGCACGCGCGAACCCGAGCTGCATAAATGAGATCCATGGATGGTGCACTAAGCACAAAATGAACAAGCTGTGTATCACAATCCATACTCCTTTCACACCAGCCATTGGCCGTTCTCGTCTTCCCAGCCAACCTCCTGGTAGGTCCATTTTTGGAACGTCGTCTTACCATCGATCTTGATATGCATCGATGCGATGTCGTTTGAGAGTCTCTGCCTCTTGATCGTATCCTGTGCTCCGTTGATCTTATCCACCTCCTCGGCGCTCAAGGTGACGAGCTTGATATTCTCCTCGATGCGGGCCTTGGACTTGCTCTTGGGAATAACAGTGATGCCTCGCTGCACAGCCCATGAGAGGGACACGACGCCTGTCGAGCATCCGTGCGCCTTGGCAATGTCGCTGAACAGTTGATGGCTGAGGATGAGGTTCTCTCCGTCTCTTTGACCACCAAGTGTGCTGGAAAAAGGTTGCAGGGTTAGCTTTTTGCGGTTTCTAAATTCACCAGTTCCCCATATACGACGACAGACATACCTCCAACTCATGACATGAATCCCCCTTGATTGGCAGTATGGCACCAACTTCAGATTGGGGTTGAAAGCATGCAGCTCGACCTGGTTGATCGCCGGCACAATCGTCTCATGCTCGCGCAATTCCTCAAGAAGCTTCTCAGTGAAGTTGCTGACGCCAATGGCCCTACACTTGGGCCCGACAAGCTTCTCCATCGCTAACCACGTCTCGATGAAAGTAGGGCTCTCATATTTGCCCAGCGGCTTCTTCTCCGGGGCTGGGGTTGTCGCCCATGGCCAGTGCATCAGGAAGACGTCAACGTAGTCGAGGCCCAGGTCTGCCAGCGAGATGCGAAGCGCCTCAGCCGGGTCATGGTGCCAATGGCCCCAGAACTTGGTGACAACGGTGATCTCCTCGCGCGGAACTCCGCTCGCTCGAATTGCGCGCCCAACAATGTTCTCGACGCCGTAGCTCTGCGCGGTGTCGATCAGGCGGTACCCGGATTTAAGGGAATGGATGATGGACTCTTCCAGCGCCTTGCTGTCGTCCGAGCCATGGCTCCCTACAATGATGTCAGAACCACTGGGGATCTGTTGATTCGGGTGGATGGTATTTTCTTACCTTGCCAGGTGCCCAGCCCTACAGCAGGAAACTTGTCGCCTGATTATAAATCCGGGGTTAGCCAACCTGGCACGTCCATAAGCCGACTGCATCCTACCTTGGTTCAGCGTAAAGGTCTTGGTGGTGATTGGGTGGTCAGCCATGGTGACGAACTAGAGCGACTTCAATGTGCCACAGTTTCCTGAAAAGTTTGATGGATAGTAGAGTGTTTGCCAGTTGGAAAACGCACGCAATACATCGTCCATCCCACGATTAGGTGCGGGGGCCATCGGCGCTGGTGGAGACGAGCTGCAGGCTGCTTATCCTCCTCAGTGGAGAGCGAGCGGAGCCTCCAACAAGCCGCGATCCATGTCCGGCACCGACGACGAAGCTGTTCCTGACAACAGTAGGCTTTTATGTATCCAATGAGCAGGCAATCAACCTTCTCTTCCAATAGTTCACCGGCCATTCAGCAGCTCAATGAGTCAATTATGCCTCGGCGAACCAGGCTTCCCCGAAATGTCCCGGCAAATTATGAGAGCCAACTATCATGTGGATAACAAGCCTCCTCGGGCTGGAACTAACTATTCTATAACATGGGAACTAATAGTGCCAGGTGATCCTCGTGCTGCCGTAGGTGTAGATAGGAATAAGAGCATCTTGTTACACGTGAAAAAAAAGATGTCCGTTCGACTAGTGCAAGCTTGACTCCTAAGCCAGTTTTCCCGTCACGAATTGCCCACATGGCACGTAACTCCTCGCAGACTGAGGGCCAGCTTATTATTACAATCCAATTAGGACGGTAAACAGAGACTAATCCGCATCACCTCCGTTTAAGCCCACCTACATCCGTCCTTCTCACCATGTCCATGCAACCCTTCACGCGCAGCCGCCAATCAACTGCCACATTCGGCCAGTTCGGGATGGGAATGAAGCTAGCCATGAAACGTAGGCATGGCATAAGATTCAACTAGGCCACCGGACGTGGACTCTAAATCCGCCTGATTTCGATGGACGCACCGGCGGACTTACAAGGGTCTATCTTCGAACTTTCAAGCATAAAAGGGGCCGGAGCTCCGTGGTTGAGGAAAGATGATTGTGCCATCATTGCTTTATTCCTAGGTCACGTCTCATATACCACTTCCCGTTTTCATATAACATTCCCGTTTCCTCGGCACAACAGAAACCGCACCCAAGCAACATGCCTTCGGTTACTCATTCCAATTTCAACGTCGAGACTGAAGGCCTTGAGGTTGCCAAGGCCTTTGCCGACGGCATCCGTGGCAAGACAGTCATCGTCACCGGCGGTAACCGCTCTGGAATCGGCTTCGCCACAGCACGTAGCTTTGTATGTGTGAAATTCCCGAGCGACATCCCGTCCTCCCAGAGGAATGAAAAGCTAACCTACATCAAAGGCCTCCCAATCACCTGCCCACCTCATCCTAGCTGGCCGCACCCCCTCCAAGCTTCAGGAGTGCATCGACGCACTCAAGGCCGAGTTCCCCGGCGTGGACTACCGCGCCCTCCGCATCGATCTCGCAAGCCAGAAGTCCGTCCGGGCCGCGGCCGCCGAGATTCTCGGGTGGGCTGACATCCCCACCATCGACATCATCGTCAACACTGCCGGCGTCATGGCCATCCAGGAGCGGACCATCACCGACGACGGCGTGGAGATGCATTTTGCGACAAACCACATCGGCCACTTTCTTTTCTTCTGCCTCGTCTCGCCAAAGCTCATCAAGGCGGCCGAAGGGAAGCCCAAGGGAGCTACGCGCGTCGTGAATGTCTCGTCCATGTCCCCCAGCGTCACAAACATGCGCTGGAGCGACAGGAACTTTGAAAAGAAGAGCAAGGACCTGCCAGAGGACGAGATCCCGAACATCGAGTTCCTCGAGCTCTGGGGTTACGAGGACGTGGAGAACATGACGTACATCCCCGTCGAGGCCTACGGCCAGAGCAAGGTCGCCAACGTCCTGTTCAGCATTGGCGCCAACAGGCGATTGTTGGAGAAGCACGGCATTCTCAGCGTGTCAGTTCACCCAGGCTTGATCGACACCGAGATTGCCAGAGACTTCCCGGCGGAGAGGTTTGCAGATGTGAAGGATATGGTCAAGAAGGGTGTCTTCACCTACAAGAGCTTGGGTGCAGGTGCGGCGACCAGTCTGGTGGCTGCGCTGGACCCCGCCCTCGCGATTGGAGTTGGTGAGTCGAGGGACGGGAAGGAGAACTATGGGACGTTCCTTGCCGACTGCCAGATCACAGGCATTGCAAGACCCGGGTCCGTGTCGAGTGCGAACGCTGAGAAGCTGTGGAAGCTGTCCGAGGGATTGGTCAAGCAGGAGTTTTCGTGGTAATTGACAGAAATAGGTTAGTAATCCTCCCTATTAGATAGAGATAAATGATCAACCCAAGTAAATCCGAACAATCAGATGCAGAAATCTCAGCGGTGGCACGTCACATTATGGGCTTGATGAGCTCTTCATTCAAAGACGGCGGGCGACCACGACCCCCCTGGGCTCCACGATGCGTCTCCCCACACTTGCTGTCCCATTTCGCCGTGGAGAAAATTGATCCAGGGGAACCTTCGCACCCGATTTTCTGTCTCCTCCCAAGTCCTCAATCCCAAACGACCCGTCATCGTTCGGATTCTGGTATGGAAGAAGGACGGATCCGGGTCGTCTATGCACCAGATGGCGCCGAGTAAAGAAAGCCAGAGGGTGAGCTCACTTTCATCGTCTCCCAGTCCCTCTGCGAGAATGTTCCGCAGAGTGGATGTTACCAAGGGAAAATCTAAGATCCGACGGTTGTCGTGCTGTAGAGAGATTATCATCATAAATAGTGTCATCCCAATGTGATATGCTGCCTCAATATTGGACTCTCTCTTGGGGGCATTGAGATGATGAAAGCGTAAAAGACGGGAGAATATGGTGATACTCATTTCTTGGAAGCTGACAAGATCGAATATCTGCTTGCCTTTGTTTTCGTTGAACAATCTGGCAACAGCGCAAACATCCACCAGGAGATCCTCAAGGCTTGGATCAATATTTTTATGCAAGAGCGTGGAAATGACCTTTTGCCGGTCCAGCTCAAATCCGTTTGCTTCCAATGCCTTGTGGATCTGGGGCATACTGTTTCGGTAAAAGATCTGTGGCTGTCCAGACTCCAGGCAAAAGGTAATTTCAGTCCTAAATTATGACAGAGGTTAGATGACCTGAGGACACCGCATAGACAGACTGGAAACTTACTTGCAGATCTTGTACAAAACTCCAGGATTGCTTTCGAATTGTTTTAAACCACCACGTAGATTAACAATCCTTTTTAGGCCTTCCAGGTGCAATTTGGCTGTCTGGGTCTGTTGCCGGATATATTCCTGTGTGATGAGCGAGATGATCATGCCGATTGTTGAATCTTCCAACGCTTTCGGGCTTTCAAGTCGCTGTTGTACTATTCCAAAAGTCTTTCCCAGGTAATGCAGCGCCGTTGGGGAGTCTCTTCCGTGGGTGAGGAAGAATTCATTGAATGCCTGCATCAGAGAAACACTGCATTGAGAAGCTACATGTCTAGTCAGCACCCCACGACTATTATTCCATAGCAGCTGCTCTCAGGTAGGTACATGTATGGTGTTGTATACCACAGACTGGTCTCTACTTACTCTCTGGGTCGAAAAACATGACCTTGAGATATATTGCCTTGGCCTCGTTAATCGGGAGGCCAAGTCTAGTAGGGTACATCTTCTCTGCGACATAGCCAAAGTCTACCGAGCCCCAGATCTTAGTACGTCTCGTTCCACTGGCTACACTTGGAGGACTTACAACGGTCAGCGATATCTAGCGAGTGCTGCGAGAGCTCCGGGAGTGAGATTGTGAGGAGCACGCTGCCCAGATTTCTAGGGATGCGCGTCGTGCGGGGCGGCTGTCGCTGGGTCAAGGCGCGCTCGTCTCCGAGGACGCGTTCTTGATATCGGTCGGACCGTAATTTGGAACGGCGAGGGAGGACTCGACCAGCATTCTTGCCCTTCATTACATGGCTGCGGATAAGCTTGCGGGTGGTCTTATCAACGCTGGTGCTGTCTACGAATTGGAAGTCCTGGGCCATGATTGAGCTTGCCGCAACGAGAGCCCATCAAGCGATGCAATCGACTTTAATATACCTCTCGAAATACGATGATGAGTCTGTGATGCGGATGATCCTACAGCTGAGCCGTTCGATGAACCCAAATGCCACGGCAGCCGGATCTAAGCGGGGTTTAGCCGGAAGCTTCTTAGCGAGGACCAATTTTTGGACGGCAGGTACTTCACCACGATGATAGCTTGCGATATTTCATATTCTCGTGGAAATTTCTACGATATTTTGCTTTCCTGTTTATTGCATTTTTCCCATGTTGAATATGTATACTGGGTTAGCATTATTTTTGGATATCCGGACTTTAGTATCCTTATCCGAAATTGCCTTACATAATAAGCGACAACGAAGTCAAAGCGGCGCCCCATCAAGTTATAACGTCACTCACTACAACATCACTACGACACGAAGCTACATAAAGACAAAAGCCCGAGTCCCCCAAGGGCCAATGAACTAGAAAAAAAAACATCAACGGACGAGCATCATGTTCCACCTCAAGTTTACTGGCCACGACACATCTTGTGATGCGTGTTCTCTGGAGTGCTAACAGCGAGTCTAGGGTAGGATTTCTCTGAACGAACCCCTTGCCTCGGATACTCCAAGAAAAAGAAAAGAAAAAAGAAACAGAAAAAGCAATATGTTGTTGGACCCTGAGTGTTCGAACCCCTTCATCAGTTTTGCCTGCAGAATCGCACTCCTGCATATGAGAGGGAGAGAAATCTGGTGAGGAACCAGGCAAGATCGACGTGATATGTGATAGCCATCAGCGCTCTTGCTGTGACACTGTCTCGGGTATTCAGCTTCAATGTCAGCGCAGTCAAGCCCTCGCATTGGCTAATGCACACACAGCCCTCGTCCCAAGGTCTGATAAGTTCAAGCGCGTACAAGCCCCGTCGAGTTGAGCGGGGAAGTTCTCACCTTGGACGGCATCTCCTTGGAAGTTCTCTCCTTGGAGCTCTCCTCGTCATGGCCCTAGAGCCAGCTTCGAGGGCTAGGTGTCTCCTGGTGCTACGATACCCGTAGTCTCCGAGCCGTTTATTGTTTATCCGATATGCCCCCTTCCACACCTCCCTCTGCTCTCCATCCCATCGCGTCCTCCCTTCCGCGTGTCTCTTCTCTCTCTCATATGCCCGGACGCCCTGATAGGGGATCGACAATGGGTCAGGCCGTTGCTGGGACGCCGATAGCAGACGTGTCATGTCGTGTCCTGACTTACGCAGGGACCTGAATCAGTAGGGTTCGCGTCATCTCGCTGCCGTATGCACGGGGTTCTCATACACACATCGCAATCTGTTGTGCCTGATTGTCTTGTCCCTGTTTCCTCAACGCCCTCCCACTGTCTATCTGCATGTTTGTGTGTTTTTGGATGCCAGCTGTGATGGATGTGGACTGAACTCTGGTGATCGTGCACTCCGCTTGCCGCTTCTCGGCTCTCATGACTCCCCTGGTATGCCCGGGATGACCGAATTCTCATTCTTCTGCATGTGTGTTTCCCAGTTTTTCGCATCCACCGAACCGGGCGGAGCTTTCGACTATCGCGATTTCGTGTCTCCATGACTTGATCGAGATATCTGGAGATGGGTGGAGCTCAGAAGGAGTCCCAGTCGTTGGTTGCCCCGGCACACCTATTGTTCCTCTTCCTGGGTCTCCAATCCCGGCCTATATACATATCCCATGCATCGCGTTATCCCTCCCCCTTCTAGACAGATGTCTCGCTTCACTACCTAAGCTGGCCGAGTACTTGCTGCTGGCATCTACGACGACAACCGGCCCTCCAAGAAACTTGCATTGTACTGACCCAGGGGTCGAGTATCTCTCAACAGAGAGGTGCAAGCACGGCTCAACGGCGTCTGTCCTGTCCTACCCTCCTCTCCTGATCCAGCATGCCTCGTAGATCAATGCAGGTTGCATCTGTTTTGATTGCATGAGAACACACATCTTTGTGCAGCGGTTCCCGGATCGGAAATAATCTGGCAGATCCGTGCTCGCTGCCGGTGCAAAGACAATGCTACCAGGTTCCATACCTCGGCGGCACTCCCGGCGGAGAGTTCGCTGCTGTGTTAGTGTCGAACCATTATGCGTGTCTCACCCCATCTTTCTTGACTCTGATCGATCATGGCTGGCCTTTTCCTCGGGAAAATTTTTCCCTATCCCAGAATTCGATGTGCGTGCCCTCGGCAACAAGACCACCGCTGGAAATGAGAGCCACAGAGGGAGCCCACAGGATCTTAGTGCCACGGACAGGTCCTTATCTGGCTGAGGTTGGGACCGACTTTTACTGTTTGTTGTTATTCGTGCTTTTTCGAGCAATGATATGGCGACAGGCACGGCCCACTAGTCAGAAGAGACACGCATACGTGCTACGTAGGACGATGAGCAAGCAATGCCTAGCCGAGTATGAGCAGAGCACGAGCGCATCACTGCACTGCCTATGAGGCGAGTGAGGGGACCGACCGTCTGCCGAGCCGTTGGTGTCCGGGCGGTGGCTCGTCGACACCAGTGTCTACGTAACGGAGAGGAAACAATACCCTTGCTCTCACATCTAAGACCCTAGCGCGGATCATCTGCGAACTGCTCAGAGCTACACAATGTGAGAGTAAAGGATGATTCTTACTCCTGCGGCTGAGCTTAGTAAATAGTCAAGAAGCCCGTCATGAGAGAAGATGCAGCCCCCGGGAGCCATGGTGGCGAACCTCCCAGCCAGCTGAGAGCACGAGGGTGATGCAATCGACGGATGGGGCCTGTCATCGGGCGCATACCAACATGCATTTCACGGGCTCTGGGCAGCAAGAATGCGCCGGACCCCCCAACAGGCCGAAAGATGGGCTGCTCTCTCCACCACAAGGGCTTTTTCTACAGAAGGAATGTCTCCCAGCTCGCCCAGGTAGAAGTCAAGGGGAGGGTGGGGGAGGGACAGAGCGACAGACGAACCCACTCGAACCAAACAAACCCACCACGCCACTGACAGGTTGGTGTCAGTGTGTTCAGTCTCTCGAACTGCTGTCTCACATGGGACTGTTGGACTTTGACTAACCACGCCATTTGTTTTGTTTGCTACAAGTTTTATTTGTATATCATGCCTTTCCCCATCCCTCGTTCCCTGCTATCCCTTAACCCTCGTCGTAATATTGTTGTTTGTTCTTGCTTATGCGATTATTGTGAAAGGAAGAGAGAGAGAGAGAGCGCGAGGCCAGCACACACAATGGAGCAGCAACCCAGCAGATTGGCAAGCTTGACGCTTGTGTCAAAGTATTACCCAGTGGCCAACTACTCCTATCCTCGGAATGAAAGCAGTTGTTCCAACAGCGGGGCCAAGACTGGTGTCGACAGATCCTCCTCTGGATCCTTCGGATCTCTTCCAGGACTCATCGACGACAGGTCGGACACTGAGACTTCCGTTGAAGAGGAGGATAACTATCATACTCAATCCTCAGACTTGTGGGATAGCTTTTGGGACCAGAGGGCAGAGAAGACGAAGCTCAACCAGCAGCCAGAAGTCCAGCCAAAGAAGCAGTATCCAGCTCTGATTCTTTCTATTCCTCAACGGTCTTCTCGTCCGTATCCCTTTGAAGGAGACAGCGGAAACAGAAGCCCTGGGTGGCCGTTGCCCGACGCCGCCCCTGCCCAGAAGACTCGACCCAGGCAGCCAGCAGCCAACTACTCTCCCTTCCCCAAGCCGATTGCACTTCCTCCTCGTGTTGGATGCCCGGTCCCTTCATGGCAGAGCTCAAGATCAAGGGAGTGCCCTCGCCGACCCTCGCGGCCTGACGAAAGCCTCCTTGCGCCATGCATCCCCCAGCAGTCCCCCGTCAAGGCCGTCTTCCCCTCTTCCTTAAAACCCCAGGCCTCGGCCAAAGAGCAAAAGTCCACCGGAATTGCAGCATCATCTCCAGTAGAGCGACCATCCACCTCTGCGGGATACAACCAGACCAAGCCCTGCTCTCAACACCGTCCACTCACTCCACCAGAGATGCAGCGCCCAAGGACTGCGCACGCCTCGCGCCCATCGATCCGGGCTGTATCACCCGCCGAAGTATCTCGTCCCAGCTCGGGCCGCGGGATGACCTCCTTTGACGCCCAGCGTTCAGAAATGTCGTTCGGCCATCGATCATCAAGGCCATCCACCCCCAGTTCGACGGACGGCCACTCACTCTTCAACACAAACATCTGGGGCACCGCACATGAACTGCCTAGCAAGAATGCCCACCGCTATACAAAGTCACATCCCTCATCCCACCACCGCTCACGGAGCCGGCTCATAGAAGAGTCAACCGTCCTCACTTCGGAGCCCCAGTCCGTATTCGAGGACGACTCGGACAGCGAGGACACAAAACGGTCCTTCTTCCGGTTCCACAAGCGCTCCGGGAGCGACATCAGGCGCTCGGCACGCAACTCGGCTCGCAACTCAGACTCGGAGGTTCTGTCTTCGCGGCGCGCCCGAGCCAGCACCGCCCCGTCATCGCCAGTCAGGCAGCCAGAGCGCAAGCGCAGCGCCGTCGACGTCCTCAGCTGCATGCTCGGCCGCCGCAGATCCAAGGGCGAAGACGATTGACCCGCGCGGATCATGATAATACAGTCACTCATTCTAATCACACTCAAGAAGAGTCTTGTTTTCCTCTTACGCTGTCTTTTCAAATTGTATATTCGGGGGACCCGACCTGCCCAGAAGGCCGGAAGACCCTGCACGGAAACAACATCCTTACCAAGTCAGCGTCACGACTGACGCTTTACACTCACTAACTAATGTCTTATCAGCTCGAAACCGAGCACAACGGATTTCCTTTACTTGTAATCTTTCCTATTATCTTTTAGATGTTTAGATGTTTAGATGGGGGGGCTAGTACACAGTTCTGTACGAAATGATGAGGAGGCCACGACTACAAACGATGACGAGGTGAAGAGATCCCAACGACCGCATATCAGAGTCAGCACAGTCTTTCAAATCTTCCAACTTAGGTCGTAATTTTTCCTTTTTTTTTTTTTTTTTTTTTTTTCCCTGTGGTGTTTTGGTTTGTTTGTTTAGATTTCGATTTGTACTCTAGGAAATTAAAAATTCGGACAATTTCTCATTTTAGTTTTTGATTATTCTCCCTGTGTCTTCTCGCTCAAAGTCTCACCGAGTCTCGGTCCGAATTGTTCATGTCTCAAGGAGAAATATGGGAGGGAAATTGTGTGTAACTCGATCTGAGTGGCCAGCGCCACATTCATTATTCTTTTCGTCTTGTATAGTACATAAAAGCCATGTCTACTACCATCTCTAGAGCATAAAAAAGAGAAAGAAATAACAAATCCAAACTCATACACATTTCCGTGACATCCCAATCATGCCGTGAACCATTTACCATATTACCCATGCCGTCGTAAAAGAAAACGCCACCAGGAGGGATGAAGAAAAGCATCCAACTGGGAATGTGAAACATCGAAAACGCAAAAACAACATGCCCAAAATATGACCCAGATTAATAATTCCCATCATACGCCGGCCCCAAAACAATTTTACCTGATCTTAAATGCAAAATCCATATCATGCTATTATGACGTAACACATTGTCGTCAAAAGAAGAAAAGTTGAAGAAACGAGACAATAATAAACAAGGCGAATTGAAGGTGAGGGAGGAGGAAACGAGGATTAGACCATGGATCGATCAGACCGGCGTGTCGTGGGAGGCTTCTCCGTGTACCGCCTCATGCGGCGGATACTGAGTGTCTTTTCGTCCTTGCCAGGCACGACACCAAAGAACCAGACGCTCTCCTCGCGAGGATCAACGCCGGGCTCGACACCAAGCCTCATCTCCAGATCGTTGCGGGAGCGCACGGAGCGGAAGGCAGCATCCTGCGTGAGCTCATCGGCGCAGCAGAAAGTGATGAGGTCGGCCAGGCTCTCGACGGAGCGGGGGAGGAGGAACTGGCCGCGCAGTGGCAGGATGGACGAGAGGCAGGCCAGGTAGAGGAAGAGGAAGGTGAGGACCACGCCGTAGACTGGAATGCTGGGGAACATGAGCACTTTGCCATCATCCCTCGTAAGAGCCATAAACAAGCCACCGGACAGGACGGGGATGGCAAGGAACAGAACCCCCATGAGGGATGTCACAGCGACTCTCCAGTGGCCGGCCCTGAGCGCATGCCAAGATGCCTGGATGGGCAGGCAAGCAGCGTAGTCGGCCAGGAGTGACTTGTGGGCGAGTGCACCATCAAGCTTGAGCAGCTCAGCCCAGGGCTGGACAATGCGCAGGGATAGCTCAACGCTCTGGAAGATGAGCCACAGCAGCATACCGAGGAATGAGGGGAGGAAGCTGTAGAGGAAATTGGCGGCGGAGAAGGCAGCGCTGGTGGGCTTGGCGGGGAGGAGTGGCTCAAAGCCGGCATCGAGGCGCGTCTGTGGCAGGAATGAGACAATGAGCAGGGCGAGCAACAGGGTAAACGACCCCACGATGAGTGCAGCAAGAGGGGCACTGCGGAGGCACCATGGCAGGTAGTCAAAGCGGGGCTCAGCCAGGCAGGAAGTGACGGATGGCTGCTGGATGCCAATGTTCAGCTCGTTCTGCGACGAGTGCCGGGAAGAGTCGTGGCTCACACGCTTGGCACCAGCAAGTCCCTTGGCCGACATGAGCTGGCGGACCTGCTCGGTCCCTGCAGGTGTGCCAGATGCGCCAATGCTGTACCAGATGCCACCGGTCTGCATCTCCTCCTTGCGCCAGTAGCCCAGGCGGTCGAACCACCGGTCTTGCAGGGAGTTCCTGAACTGGTGGTCGGACCTCGTCGAGGAGCTTGCACAGACGTCCTTGTAGCTGTCGGTGGCATTGCTGCGGTTGAGCAGGGGGATCAGGTCGGCGATGGAGCGGACATCCCAGATCAGGCCAGTCCACATGCCAAACCAGTAGACCATAAGGATCGCGGTGGCGACGGTGAGGAGGAGGTAGAGGGTGACGAGGGTCCACACGACAGGCTGGACTGGGGCCCAGATCCACGCACCATTGTCGAAGATGCAGGTGAAGGCGGCGCTCTGCAGAGGGATCAAGAACAGTGCCAGCCAGGTGGCGACGCTGAAAACCTTGAACTGCCAGGGTCCGACGAGGCGGGGCCACAGGAAGGTGGTGGGATAGAGTCCCTGGAACAGAGCCAGGTAGCGCTGTCGTGCGTCCTCACTGGACAGGGACACGAAGGGCAGCACGCGCAGGGAAGTGGATACAATCGCCTGGGCGTAGAGGAGGATGGGAGCGGCGAGGAGCTGGGGTAGGATGCGGAAGAGGAAGTATTTTCCGGAATAGATGGTGCCGGGATAGTCGGTGAGGCCATTCTGGCGGTTGGAGAAGACGGCGGAGAAGATGAGGGCCGCGGTCATGAGCAGACATAACGTCATTAAGATCATCATAGAGAAAGGCCGCAAGATGCGGGGCTTGTAGGTGAGAGGAGGGTATGTATTATCATTAGGATAGAAGTTCTCGCGCATCTCCTTGGTGACGGGGACCCAGTGCTGGTCGGCGCCAGGGACTCTGCGAGAAGGCGGCAGAGGCGTGACAACAACCGGCCGCGATGCTGTGGTTTGCGGCGGGCCCAGGGGAAGCGGCGTCAACGGAGGAGTAGGCCGCACAATCAAGAAGTCGGTCTTGGGCTTCTCGCGAACAGCGGGGGGTTCTTCGTCGCTGCTCGAGTGCCGCCTGGGCTCCCGGAGACCTGCATATGCGGCCTGCGGCATGGCCACGGGCGAGGCATAGGCCATCTCTTGGGCCGACATCCTTCGAGGTGGAGGCTCCACGCCTGCCATCTCGTCCTCGAAGTCCCCGTCAGACAGATCGTCGTCGTCGAAATCGTCGCGGCGGTTCCGGGTCAAAGCCTGGATGGCATACTGGATATACGGGGTGTCGTCAACACCGGGAGTGACCTTGCCCGCGGCAATGACCAGAGGGTCCTTGGGCACAGAGGCCATGTTTGCGTTCTGCGCAGCCAGCATGAGGAGCTGCGACTCGTCAAAGCGCACCACGGGTTCCGAGGGCGCTGTAGATGGTGCGCCTCCCTGGCTTGGGAATCGAAACGAGCGACGCGCCTGCTGGAGGGGATTGTGCCGGTCGGGACCGTAGATCTCGGGGGTGGATTCCGTCATGGGCGGAGGAGACGGAGGAGACGGTGCGGGAGGAATGAAGGAGAAGTCGGGAGTAATAGACTGGACAGAGGGAATGAAGTCCGAGTCGGAGGGAGTCTCAGTCTGGCTCCGGCTCTGGTTGTGGATCAGTCTCTGCTGGTGGTAGTAGAAGCGGTGACGGTCCTGCGGTTGCTGGATGGTTGACTCGGAGTCGGATGGCTGAGCTTCAGCGGACTGAAACTGTTGTGGCCACTGACCTGTATTCGAGGTAGCAAGAGTCAGTGACACCGTTCACGATTCCGCCCAACAGATATACAGTGGTTGCAGTATGTGGTGGTGTTGGAGGGGGAGGGGTGGTGTGAGACAAGAGGGGACGTGCCTTTGCCGGAGTGTGTGTGTGTAAGTGCAGGTGTGATCGAGTGTAAATCAAGGTCGCCCTCACACAGAAGCGTGGGATGATGTAGGTAAAGTGTAGGAGCAGGAGGGAGGGCGAGAGAGAAGAGGGTGTGAAGGATGGAGATCTGTTCAGGCTAGTCCAGAGTGTGCAACGTACGAGGAGCTTCCACATAGTCGAAATTGAGATTTTGGAAGTTCATTGCTTGTTGGCTGGAAGTGTTGGGTTAGTTCGATATGCAGGCAGCCCTCCACAATGATAGAACGGCCAATGGGTTCGTGGGACATGCAATACAGAGTGGGAAAAGAGGGTGCATGACGGGCTGCGAGGTGACTGGAATGAAATATGGTTGGGCAGTTGGGCGGATTGTGAGAGGCTGGACGGCGATGGATTTTCAGAAGGTTGGGCAGGTCCCGTCCCAGCCACCGCGAGCTGCAGCAGGACCCCAGCACCGGGTCCAGGGGCCCTGCAGAGTGCCGTCAGAAGCTGCGCGCAGACGGACATTTGCGCTGCCTGCCATTTCGCTTGACCAGCGACGCCTCAGAAACAGCCGGCACGGCGTGATGTGAAACGCAGAGAGGCGCATTTTGACATGAGCAGCCATGCGCAACGGACGAGGTGATGTTGCTGGACGGCCGTTACTAGATCACCACCGCCAGTCCTGTTGTCGGTGTAGCGCCCGTCACATGCACCCACCCACCCGTGGCGTAGCTCCAACACTGGTGCGCTGGCAGATAGACCCTCTAACGTACAGAAGGTTAGCTGCTGCTGCTGCTCTCCAGATCCCTAAAGCACCATGTCCATAGGGCAGATGCGACCCCCGGAGCCCTGAAGTCCTAGGCAGCCAAGGCCCCACACCTTCCCGACTCTCGGGTGGCTGAGAGCCAGGTTCGACCCGCAAATCCGGGTGGCTGGGCCCCTCCTCCAGGTTTGGGCATATTACAGACAGCTTCACCTCCCAGCAGTCTCACAGTTCGTAATCGCTCCTTCGTACGAACAATTTGCAAGACGAACCCTTACTAGTGCCGATCTGAAACTTGCGATTCATCTCTAGGGCGGAGACCTGGAGCGACTTTTCATATCAATCGACTGGGTATATGAAGTAGATGATCCCGAGTTGCTGGTTCTGCCGGCTGGTCTGACTCTGACCATGGCCCGGCACCAGGGGTAGGGAAGGCAGTTCCGCCAGCCGGAAGCTCAAACCAAGCTTTGGTGGCCTGGTTCTACCACACATGCCCCAGAGTGCGGCTCGTGCTCCGTTTGTTCTTTTTCTGGATGACGATGAGATGGCTGGAGCTGAAATTGTTCATTTTGCGGTCCAGCCCTCACTCAACCCAGCATGTGGTGCGTGCATGTTTTGCTTTTCTTCTAGACAGCGATGGAAAGGCTGGAGATGAGCATATCATTGGGTCTCTGGTGCCCAATCTTGCCAATCTATGGCCTCTGGCACCTTTGCTCATCTATTGTTGAAGGACGAGGGAAGGACGAGGAGAGGAGGGGTCGCCTACTTGCTACATTCACTCGTTCGTGCCTCCGAACCTATAGGAACATTGATCTTCAGGGCCACATCCCACCTAGATGCGGGGACGACGAGCGAGGTCCAAACGACTGAAAACCCGGTTATTTTATTGGCTGGGTGAAGTTGGAGTTTGACACTATGCGAACTATGACGAGGACCGGCGCTGACATTTGGCTGACAATTGATTGCTTGACACTCCACTGCAAATGATGTAATATCCAATGGGTGTCGGATCAACTATATTCCTCCTCCCGCCCTTCCTGTCTAGGCTTGGCGGTGCGGGCTCAAGCGATGAGACTAGACCGCACAGGGTAACAGTGCGGGGCTTCCTGCTTATGCTACGCTGAGGAATTCTGCCCCAGAATTGGTCGATGATTAAGAATTAGAAATTCGTCAAGACAGACACAAGTGTCAGTGTAATTGAGTGGTAATGAAAAGTCATCCTCAGCTCAGCTAGAAAGCCGCCAGATTTAGTCTATTCCAATCCATCTAGTGCCTGAACCTTCGCATTCCTTCTTCGTGATTGTGTATAAATGACTCGCTTCTCGCCTTGGTCTGCCGTTTTGAGCATCTTCATCGGCATCACAGTCTACTTCTACTACTACCAGAGCCAGACACTCAAAATCAACTCACTCATCACCAACCAATCAACCTCTACAGAAGACCATATGCTCAAGGCAGCCAAAACCATGTCCAAGGCACTTGCAAACGCAAAGATCACCCCCCACAGGTCATCCACTCGTGGCCACTCCGACCATGGCTGGCTCAACACCTACCACAGCTTCTCCTTTGCCGACTGGTACAACCCCAAGTTCACCCATTTCGGCTCTCTGCGAGTCCTGAACGAGGACCGTGTCAGCCCCGTCAACGGCTTCCCAACGCACCCCCACCGCAACTTCGAGATCTTCAGCTACATCCTCTCCGGCGAGCTCACCCACCGCGACTCCATGCTCTCCAAGGGCAACGAGGGCGGCCAATCGGACAAGTTCTACCGCATGCACCGCGGCGACGTCCAGTTCACCACCGGCGGGACGGGTATCGCCCACTCGGAGTTCAACGAGCACAAGAAGGACACCGTCCACTTCCTCCAGATCTGGGCCCTCCCCTGGAAGAACGGCCTCAAGCCCCGCTACCACACCCGCAGCTTCCCCGACGAGGAGAAGCGCAAGGGTTTCGTGAACGTCCTCAGCCCCCTCAAGGCCGGCGAGGACGCTACCGAGCAGGAGGAGGCCGACGCCGAGCCCGCCATCCCCAACACCATCCCCATCCACGCCGACTTCGTCATGGGCGCCGGCCTCATCGCGCCCGAGAGCACCTTCGAGTGGACCGTGGGCGCCAACGCGACCCAGCAGACCAAGCGCAAGGTCTACGTCCACGTCCCCATGACGCAGAACGGCAAGGCCAAGATCCGTCTGGACGGCCGCGAGAGCGCCGAGCTGGCCGAGGGTGACGGTGCCTTTGTTGAGGACGTCAATGCCGGCGACAAGCTGAGCTTTGAGAGCATCGGCGAGGCCGAGGCTGAGGTCGTCGTTCTCGACACAGCTTGAGAATTTAAAGCAAGCAAAGACAACAAAAAAAGGTTTCTGGGAGTTTTTAAAGGAAGTTTTTTCTTTTTTTAGCATGTAATCACCAGTTAGAATAATGCCAACAGTACCTGTCTTGATACCAAATTCATTGTGCAATGATGAGAAATTTATGCTCTTTCATTCATGACATGTCTTTAAAAATCAAATATTCTCGTAGAAGATATAATCAATTGTGTAATGTGAAGGGTCCCGACATGGACGAAGTAGGTTACGTTTTGGATGCTCGGTAGGATATGCGCAGAGAAGGACAATTTGTGGCCGACTGTCACAGTTCATAATGATAAGCTCTAAATATCGTAGAGATATGTGGTTCATGGGAAGAGGCAGGGCCACTTGCTTGATGTGGAGTTAGCTGAGGTTGGGTGGTTTCTACTGCCTGGTGATTGGATTTCCCTCACGAGCTGGAGCTAAGACTGACTGAAATGGATTCACATTGATCTCGCCGGCTTGAACGCCTGAGCTGTTGGGATACTGGTGACGAGGCTGATCAAGAATCGGTCCGTGACTGATCACCTTCTTGGCATCAAGAGCTCCGAAGTAGCGTGATCCGGAGGACAACGCCTTGTCTCATCAGGGCATGGCGCTGTGATATAATGGATCTGACAGGTCGAGGCTGCCGGATTTAGTCCTGTCCGTATTTTTTTGCCCCTGGAAGATCGATGCTTGGCTTCCGAAATCTTGCAGTTGTAATTACCACATTGGTCACACCAATATCTAGCATTTGCACACTATTGAAAGCCTTGACTACCAGCAGCCACATGTTTACGTGCCCCTCTATCTATAGGTAGTCTAGTCTTCAGAATGACAGAGACGTATTTACTGTCTTGAATGTTCTAGAGCCGGTCTGTGGCTCTGGGATTCTGTGTGATACAACCATTCTTCTCTTCCTGGTACGGAGCAACATATCCTCCCCTCTCAGAGGCGTTGATCGGCCGACAAAGAAACGCATCAGTAGACTCGATTGGCTATGCAGTGGGGCATTTCTGCAAAACTTGCATATTTCTCCCTGTTCCTGCATTATTATTGGAGTCTGTGGCTTCAGAAGATGCTGCTAGCCAATCAGCCTAACCTACGCCACTCACGCTACTGATCAATAACCGCCTCTTAGACCTCTCTAAGTCGTTGTTGGTGATGGACCTCAGCACCAGTAGTCCATCTCACCGCTCGCCTTAGCAAGGCTCTGGGCATCTCTGGCTGGCTGGATTCGTCACTCGCTCTGTGCCCCTTCATTTCCACCTGCATGTTCGCCATGGGCGTGACGTGAGCAGCGTCGTCTTCACGGCTGAATTGAGTAGAATATTGGAACGGGAGGAGGCTGAAGACCCTGGCCCTCAGATAGCCGTGCACTGGGGTCCCAATGGCCCGGTGCAACTTGGGCGTTTTGATCAATCGCAGATGGAGCTGCCTACGAACTACCTGCATCTGGGCGTGAGAGTTGGGGACTGAGTATGGGTGGGCGCAGTGTGAGTGGGCGTCCCGCCGGCCCATTAGCAGCGATCCGATTCATAGTTCTCCTTGGCTGCCTGGATCTTTTTTATCTTTCCTTTCCTCTTCTTCCTATCATCCATCGATCGTTTCGAAGTTGAGAGACGGCTCGGTTTTTGGCCTCTGCAAACGTCTTGTTTGCGTCCTTTCTTTCGTCATCTGACGTCTACACACTCTTTGAACCGGCCTCGGCCGCCTACCAATCGCTAATTGTTTATTTGAATTAATTCTCTCGTTCACTCAAAAATAATGTCTCTGTCACTCCTCGCCCGGGGAGCTCTCACGGGTGGCTTCGGTGCTCTGAACGGTTACTGGGTTGGTGGCAACCTTTTCATCATTACTGCTGGGATCGCTCCAGTGAGAACTAACACGTTTTGATCATTAGGGTCAATATAGCGATGATCGACTGAGCCATTATTGCGACACAGGAATCGAGTATGTGACTCTGAGCTTTGTGAACAAGGCACCAGAACACAGTGCATCCGGTTACCCTGGTACGAATTTCGCTGGACACTGTTGGGCTGGAACATACAAGAACAAGGACAATGTCACCTCGGAGCTGCTCAGCGAATGCTACTATATGAAGCAGGATATCAACTACTGCAAGTCGAAAGGTGTCAAGGTTCTCCTCGCTATTGGCGGCGTTTACAACACTGGCGACAGCAACTACGCGGTTTCGACCGAGCAGAATGGCGAGGATTTTGCAGATTTCCTGTACAGTGCATTTGGACCGTATAAGCAATCTTGGGATGGACCTCGACCTTTTGATGCCAGTACTGACGACCACACTTCTGTTGACGGATTTGATTTTGATATCGAAGCTACCTTGGGTAAGTGTCGTCCCTCTTATAAACAGTCCCGTTTCCAGTTATTTCGTATCGCTCGATGTCAATGAGCGACGTAGAAATGGTTATGCATTCGGGAGACGAACTCACTGCTTCGTGATTGAATCAGTTCCTAACAGATGGCAGACAACAAGCCTTACATCAGCATGATTGAGAAATTCCGCAGCCTTGACTCCTCTCTGATGATCACCGGAGCACCTCAGTGCCCGTCCGCGGCTCCTTATTTTGACATGCAAGAGATGATCCAGAAAGCAAAGTTTGACGCGCTCTTTGTCCAGTTCTACAATAATGACAACAACTGTAATACTAATGACAAGTTCAACTACGATGATTGGATCAATATTGTTGACTCGAGCGATAAGAGCCAGAGCGCCAAGATCTTCATTGGCCTTCCTGCGAGCAGCGACGCGGCTTCTGTGGGTTACATCGACCCCTCGGCAGTCAAGGACCTGGTGTGCCGCGTTAAGGATAAGAAGCATTTTGGTGGTATCTCGCTGTGGGATCTGACTCGTGGCGCGACAAACGTCGTTGGCGGAAAGACTTTCAACCAGCACGTTCAGGAGGCTTTGCAGTATGGATGTGACCCGGTTCCTTCAACTGTTTCAACTACTCCGGCCGCCTCATCGACCCCAGTTTCATCCTCGTCTGTCTCGTCGACCCCTACACCGGTTTCATCGGCCTCAACAACCTATGCTCCAGCTTCATCAACGCCGGCTTCGTTTATCCCTTCGACGCCTTCAGCACCTGTTTCTACTCCAGTCTCATCCGCAGGAAGCACCACCCCAGGAACCGCTGGAGCTTCTACGAGTCAGTCATCCGCCTCATTTAGCACACCATCATCTAGTATTGCTGCTTCCGCGAGCACCCCGGAATCAAGCACTCCCTCGTCGACTGCTGCCGCTGCATCGGGTGCTGGAGCTTCTGGAACTCCCTCATCTAGCGCAACTCCTTCTGCCAACGAAACTCCATCGGCGGCCGCCAGCAGTTCAGCCAGTGAAACTCCTTCAGCTAGCATCACTCCATCATCTAACGTTACCCCTTCGGCTGTTACCACTTCCTCAGCAAGCGGAACCCCTTCAGACAACAGTACGCCTTCTGCGAGTGTGACTCCTTCAAACAGCAACGTTTCTTCGACTAGTGAAACCCCTTCTGCAAGCGCCACTCCTACAATCAACTCTACTCCTTCTGTTAGCGAAACTCCCTTGTCTAGTGGAACACCTTCAGCTGTTAGCACTCCTTCGGCTGTTGACACTCCTTCAGCAACTAAGACTGCCTCTGCTAGCGAAACCCCCTCATCTAGCGGAACTCCTCCAGTTGTTAATACTCCTTCGACAACCGAGACTCCATCAGCCAGCGAAACTCCTTCCTTTAGCAACACTCCTTTCGCTAGCGAAACCCCCTCATCTAGCGGAACTCCTCCAGCAATTGAGACTCCATCAGCAACCGAAACTCCTTCCGCTGGCGAAACTCCCCTTGCTAGTGGAACTCCTACTGATGGCACTTCTTCTGCTGGTGTCACACCTTCGAGTAATACTACACCTTTAGACAATGCTACACCTTCGAGCAATGCCACACCTTCGGCGGATGGAACCCCTTCAGCTAGCAATACTCCTTCAGTTAGTGCTGCGACTTCAGCCGGTGAAACTCCTTCAACAACCATCGCTACCCCTTCAGTCGTTGAAACCCCCTCTGTTGTTGAGACTCCCACTTCCGGCGAAACTCCTTCGGCCAACGCTACCCCTTCGGCCAGCAACACTCCTTCAGTTAGTGTTGCAACTTCAGCCGGTGAAACTCCATCAGCCACTGTTACCCCTTCAGTCGTTGAAACCCCTTCTTTCGTCGAGACTCCTACATCTGCCGAAACTCCTTCTGTGAGCGAAACCGGTACTCTTTCAGCCGGTAACACGCCCTCGGCTATTGCTATTCCCTCAAGTGGTGTCACTCCTTCAGCTACTACAGATGCCTCAACCGGCAGCACCTTTTCATCGGCCATCGGAACACCTTCGGCTACATTTGACCCGGCCCTTTCCACTACAGCTGGCTCAAGTACACCTCGAGCGTCAACTCAAGGTAGCACCGGAGCCAGCGGTATTGGCTCTACTTCATCGACACTGTCCTGGTCCAACTCTACCATGACAACACAAATCACGGCACCGGGCAGCCAATCTACGGGTGTTCTCACATCTGCAGGATCTTCATCCGCCAGCGGCACTGCGTCAACCAATACTCAAGGCGGTATTGCACCCACCAACACTCAAGGCGGCGCTTCCTCTACGCTGCTCGGGTCCAGCTCTACAGCTTTAGCCGGAAGCGGTGTTGCTTCCAGTACGACTACCGGGCAGGTTTCAACTAGTACCGGTGGCGGCTCTATCAACAACGGTGGTCAGAATGGCAATGCAGGTTCAACGGCAGCCGGCACAACCAAAACGGCCGCAGGCTCGGCCACCACCCAGGCCAGTGACCCTGCTACTACTCAGCCACCCCAAGGCTTGAACGGCTGGACAACGAGCACTATATTCGCTACCACAGTCAGAACCATTACCAGCTGCCCAGTGTACGTTGACTGCCCCAAGGGCGGTTATGTCACCACTGAGACTATTGCGCTTTACACTACAGTCTGCCCCATCACCCAGACGGGAGGCGTACCACAGACGCAGCCAACTGGCCAACCCAGTGCCCCCTCATCAAAGCAAACCGGAGGCAGTGCCCCAGTTCAGACAAGAACTGGTGGCAGCAACGCCCCGCAACCGACTCAGTCCACTGTCGTCAATGGCCCTGCCACAAGCAACGCACCCAATAATGGCGGTAATGAAGGGCAGAGCCGAACCCAGACTCAAGCCCAGAGTCAAACTCAAACTCAGAGCCAGGGTGCGGCATCAAGCAGCCAGACCGCTCCCGCAGTCCTTCCCACCGTCTCAGGCTTCAAGACAACCGTCGTTCTGCAGCTTGCTTCAAGCTCTACAACCGCCACCACCACTGCCAGCCAGAAGGTCAGCACCACCGCTGCACCAGCCAAGGCGGGTGCTTCCAATGTGGCCGTTGGGCTCGGAGGAATCGTGCTGGTCATGTTTCTTCAGTTACTCGCCCTGTAAAAGTGATGGTATGAATTTGGGTGTTTTGAATATTCTTAATTTTGGGTTTCATGTTTATCCTAGATCGTTTCCACTTTCACACATGCGGGTGGTACTTTATATTCCTCAGCCAAGAATAATGCAATTTATCTGTTCATCTATTGTGTCCTTCCGAGTAATCAAAGTGACTGTCAGACTCTATGGTTAAGCCAAGTGATGTAAAAACTTCTTGCTGCGTTGAGAGACAAGATTCATATTTACTGGTTGGCACTGAGTAGCGGCCTTTCTTAATTGAAACCTCTGTTTTCACATCTGAACGGCTACTTCCAAATGTGTGATGATCCGATATCCAATTTCGGCATTTAATTTATATGAAATTCTTGTATCGCGATCACTCAATGGGGGCACTTCTTCCCTGGCAAGCTGATGACATGGCAGCTCAGCCCGTTGACCCATAAATACCTCTTGTTCTCAAGTCAACATAGACTAATAGAGGGTATAACAACAGACCGCAGAAGTCAACTTCTAACCTTTTTAGTGTAGTTAGGCAACTATTCCCTGCTGGGTCCTATGAACTGACCTACATGTCACTCAGCTAAGCTCCCCTTCGCGTTCATAAGCTTTACTCAACCACACCGCTCTTCACCACCACCAACATGTCAACTGACACAGCTACGGCACGAGCCATGGCGCTGCCCGAGATATTATCCGAGGTCTTCGCTATTCTCCATGGCCAGGAGGACTTCTCCAGTCTAGCTTCGGCAGCTCGAGCGAACAGTCTATGGTTTACTTGCGCGACTGATATTCTGTGGAGCCAGGTGAAAGGCGACGCCATCACCAGCATCGCCAACATCGCCGATAGTCGTCGACAGTTATACGCTTCCAAGGTTGAGGGTATCAAATTTGATGGCAATAAACGTGACATGCCAACAGACCTTCCCGACCTTTGTTTCAATAAGATCAAGTCGATTCTCTTTAGTGTATACTGGCTCCCGCAAGGCAGCGCACAGTTAATTAAACCATATATCCAACCAAGCCTGGAAAGTTTTGTCTTTTACGGCGAGGACTTTGTTGACGAGATACTCCTTCAGCTTCAATCCACGTGCCACCGTCTTCAGGTGCTCCTCATAGACAACACGGAAATGGATTTCAGGAGGCCAAAACTCACCGGGGAGACGCTTTTCAGACTCATTTCTCAAACAAGAACACTCCGCGACCTGAGTCTTTGCTGCGGGGGGATCTCGGATGAGCTCTTCTTTTGTGTTTCGGGACTAGAAAATCTATCCGCACTGAGCTGGTGCGATGACTTAACGCCCGAGTTGCTATCGAGGACTGTCGCCCAGAACCCGAACCATTTTCTCTCTCTCGATTCGTTCTCCATGCCATATGCGCTCCCATCGATATCTGTATCCTATATTGCCACGATGCTCCCCAACATCACCAAAATAAATTTGGGATTTGGAGACAGTGAATATGATATGCTGACACAGCTTTCGACAATCGAAAACTTAACTGAGCTCGAGTGCCTGTTTTATTGCAACGCCTCGTTTTCCGCACCACAAATACTGTCGCTCAAAGCCCTTAGCAAGTTAACAAAGCTATCTATCCGGTTTGGGTGCGACTTTGACCGCCGTGATACGACAAGCCCGTTCGGTGATGCAGAGTTTCACGAGATGATATCCGCACTCCCTGGTCTGCAGTGTCTGCAGATGGAGTTCAAGTGTGATCTCACCGCTGCATCGCTGTTGTCTCTCTCGGCATGCCCCAAGCTTGACCACTTTTCCATGCGAAGGGGACTCCGTTGCGATCTAAGGTCTCTGCTGGCCCAGGCCGGGGAAGAGCCCCTACACCCGCATTTGGGAACACTTTACCTGGCGCGGATTTCGACAGACAACACCGAGCATGTGGGACTAAAATCTTCAACTACACAGTTTTTTTACTAATGTGCGATTCTCTAGCTATGCGTCTATATCTGCTCGTGACTTGGCTTGTCAAATCTTCAAGTATTTCCCGAAGTTGGAAGATTTCGATGTTGAAGATATGAATAGCCATGATGGCCTCGTTCATAACGAGTTCTGTAACGTGATCGCACAGTATGAATGATACAAAAGTCAAGATCCGCGAAGATATTTTTTCCTTGATCCTTTTGATTTGCATCCCAAGGACTTCATTTACCATGAAAATGTGCCACAACCGAGTGACTTGGAGGAAAAGAGAGCATCGCGACGTAAATAATCCTTGTCGAATTCTTTGGGCGCGCACAAAATTCTCAAGTACTGCCAATGGAACACTTTTCTCACATACACACCCCTTCGCTCTTTCGATTTCCGGCTCACTCACCAAGGCGGAAACAAACCCTTCACCAAGCTGCTAGTTCCTTCGTAAAAATGGGAGGTACTTTTGTACCGGTTGTGGATGGAGCAATTGTAGCTGCCTTGCGGCATTTCCCCATCCGTGGTTCGCTTTCAGCTGCGATCAAATGCAAATGCAGGGGAGTCGGAGCGAAGGACGGAGGTGGTCTCGACAAGGCTGAGCTGATGCTCCTAGAGTCCCCTCCATGTTCTAAAAATTCAGATTCTGGGTTCCATTTGGCGATAGTGCCCCTTTTTGGGGATTCTGACCACCATTTCGAGCCATTGTCCGTCGAATCATCAACGAAGGGATTCCCAGCCTTATTGCAATGGTGGGGTAACTTGAGGGGCACAATCTCAGCTTGGAGGGAGTTATTGCTCTTGTTGCATGGGGGTTGCTGACTGCATGGCGATCTGTCAGCCGCAAGTTGCATCGAGAGGCGTTCAGACGAAGTCCAAGTAGGTTTGGATGGCCATTAATCACACCCTGGTGATTGGTAATACACAGCTCAATTGCAACTTTCTTGTGGTTGCAAGTACTTATTCAAGATGGCAGTACGCAACCTACAGCCCAGGCTGGTTCCGGCCGCAACTTCAAACCAACGACTGACCTTTGGTCCCTATTCCAATGGCTGAACCTCGTCACTGTATCAGTGCAGAGCTGCATGATAGACAAGATGGAAAGGAGGGACAGAAAATCTCGTCAACGACGGTAGACACCACCAAAGTGGCCAATCATGTCGCACATTTCTTTGGATGCCTCGAGATCTGCGAGAGAGAGGTCTATTTCGAAGCTCTACCCAAAAACGAGCAGAGCCAGATAAAGAATGAATTGCGAAGAGTTCGAAGACTGAAGCGCTTTGTCGCGGCTACACCTGGGTGTGGTGGAACACCAACAGCGAACGGAACCTCACCAGTTGCCAAAGGCGCCAACCAGCTTTGCCTTGTGCGAAATGTCAATGAGAGTATGAAAGCATGGCGAGAGGGCCGGAAAGGGCAGATCAATAAGGAATTGAGGATTGGTAGACGACGACATTGCGACTGCCCGGAGAAGGCTGAGGACACCTTCGACCCAATCAAGGAACATACCCATGTGAATGGACGCGTGGTTGAGAATGGGCATCCTCCTGGAATTAACCACGGTAATGAGACGCCAAATGGGACGCCAACTCATCACAAGGACCCAGGTGGTTCACAACAAAAAGAGACATCCGTGCCATATGACCCGGACAAAGATATCAATGGTTACCTTATGGAATTCAAGTTGCAAAATCCCACAGATTCAAGTCCAGGCTCTTATGTTCGAGATGACCCAAACCTCGACAATGGCACTTCAGTTGGTTCCTCGAGAGCAGAAGGGGAGCGTATATGGAAAGGAAGTTTCCCAGGCCGCAAAGCAGCTATGCACGACCTTGTAGGAAAACCATCCAACGACCAGCATGCTTCCAACTTCCTCCAGCGCAACACCAAAATGGACCACTTGAGATATCTACATTTCCCCGCAAACAACATGAAGGTCAGTAATATGAGACACAATCACCTGTCACATTTTAAGCATTAATTATGAGTTCTTGTGCTGATCAATATTTTGGAACCAGTGGGTCGAGGTATGAAACCCTTTCGTCTGTGTTATCTAGGCACGACGCTCACTCTATTTATCTAGGACGTCATGTCGCTCTATTTCAGAGATTCCGAGACCGGCTCCGAGCAAGATACAAACCACAAGAGACGGACACCGTCAAACACGGTGCTTCGAAACGAGTACTGGAAGGGCCGAATGCATGGGAGCCATGAATCCTCCATTCACGCGAGACACCTTCGCCCCCTTTGTGAGCTGGTCTCCTCTAGTAAGCGGGAACTCTTTTGGGAATGACTGTGCAAATACAAGCTGACCCTCTGCCTATAGATCCAGAGGAGGCCGAACAGTCTCCAAGAAATGTAGTTCTTTTTGTATTGTCGGCGGCCACTATTCTTTCTGGGTTATTTACTAACTGCCAATAGATGCCTATACTTCACTGGGATACCGACCGAAAGGCCCAGACTTTCTCTAAAGTGATTGATAATCTTGTAGGGAAACACAATCTAGAGATCGAACAAGGCGAATGGGAAGCAGCAGAACTTCGACGAAAGGACAGAATGCTCGACCCATCAAGCCCCTCAAAGCAGTTGAAGATGCCAAGAAGATGGGACACAATTCGAAACATTGACACGCTGCCCGGTGCGGTGATGGCGTATTCAAAAAAGTACCCGCTCAGAAAATCCAAGAATCTCAAGCTGACAAGAGACAAGTTCGGCCGGCTCTTGTTTCCTAAGAAGCCTCTGGCACAGCTCCTCTACGATGCCTCAAAATTGGTGGAAGAGATGGACAATTACAGGGACAAGATGATGCTAGAGAAGTATCTGTATCACGAATCCCCCATGCACCCTCGACGGACCCTCGATCAAGCGTACTACCATTCGGTTAAGAGTACCAGGAACAGGGACCGCGACCAGGTTGTGTACCGAGAAACTACGCCCAGGGAGGATGCCCTTCACCAGTGGAAGACTGAGGGGGACAAGGTCCACTGGAACTGCCATGAAAGGGGCGACTTCCCGAAGACGAACCTGACGTCTTTCGAGGTCCCGAACTTAGACGCGAGAAGGTATAAGATTCTTAATAGGCGATGCCACGAGTGTGCGTCTGCCAAACGCCACACGGAGAATTGGAAGGGAGATATAAAATGTCCGCCGGTGGACCTGGATACCTCCGAGGATGAAGCACAGCCAGATGACAGCAGTAGCCAGAAAGAACCTCACAGACACCGGTGCAAGTTCTGCAAGTCTGAAGTATTTGGATGCAGCTGTAGACCTATCCGGATCCGCAACGAGGACGGGGAGTTGGTGGAACTGGGTGCCGACTCGGCATCGGCGGGGGGTCTAAGGTGCCCTCGCTGCCTCGAAAACATTCGAAAACTATCGAGACTGATCATGGTGGACCAGCTCTGGATGTGGATCTTGGATGAAAACACTATTCTCACCTTCTTTCCAAAGAGATACGGCGTGAACAAGCAAGACGCATCAGGGGTACACAAGTCCATTCGTGAGCGTGTCGAAAGGGCAAGAAACAACCAAATCAAGACTGTCTATGACTTGGCACTCATCATTCTCAATGAATGTACAAGAACGATTTTTGACGAAACAAAGACCAAGGATAGGCGACCGGCTGTTCTCGACATATTTTCAAGGGCAATTGGCCGTGTCGTATGTGTGCCCATTAACCCCTTGAAATAATTTCGCTTGTTGGTTGGACTGACGTTTTTGTGATAGACGCACAAACAAACTCTTGCCTTCAATCACATGTGGGAGTCAGCAGAGAAGCTTCGCCGCGTATCGCTTGCCCCTGACTCCCACCAGCATGCGAATCTCTCGGAGCTTCATATCCCTCTTCTCAACATCACACCGGAGGGGATGCTTCAGAGAGAGATCAGGGATATTTTAGATGAGCTTGGGATAATGCTACACCTCGTGAATGAGCAGAAGCGAGTCATCGAAAAATTCATAGCCAATGTTAGCACTATAATCGGCGATGGAAAGGATAGCGCCCAAACTACAGACTCCGACAAGCCAAATCCATCCCAATGGTTTGACAAATCAGCAACCAGGCTGCTGGCAGACACGGACAGTCGTCTTCGAGAGTTGGAAGGGTTGAAGGGGAGTGCTATTAGCACTTCGGAAGGGGTGAGTTCTCCCACAATCCAACATTTTAACGGAATAGCATACTGATAGTGAGAAAGCTCGATTATCTCTTGTCTCTGAAGCAACAACAAGCCAGCATCATACAAGCTTGGCAATCGATCAGACATGGGGAAGAGGCAGTCAAGCAAGGACGGGCGATTATGGTGTTCACCACGATGACAATCCTTTTTGTATGTGATTATCCCAGGTTCTATGATCGGCGTCCCATGTCTAATAACTTCAGCTTCCGGCCGCATTTATTGCTGGAGTGTTTGGCATGAACAATCCGGAATTGGATCCAGACCCTACGAGGAATAAGAAGCCGGTCCCAATAGCTTTCCAGCTACAAATCATGTGTGAGTAAGCCTTTCCCGAGAATTTGAGCATCTACTGACATGGTGGTGCTAGTTGGTGTCACGGCTGGCATCATCCTCCTCGTCTGCATTCTCGCATTCAGCGCATTCGTACGGACATTCCTTTGGTCCATATACCGCGAGGGAACTACGTGGATACTCATAAGATTTGGTATCTATCGGTTCTGGCTCCGATGGGGCCAGAATTGGAGCAGTGCCAACCGTTGGAAAGTCACAGAGTATAAAGTCAGGGAGCAGAAGTCAAACGAGAGGAGTGCGGTGCGGAAACGATTTGCGCGAGAGGTGGAAGCTACCAAGCACCTTATGGCTATTCGGGAGAGGAAGAAGGCTCGCCGCAAGGCAGATGTATGAGCGAGAATTCTCAAAATCATCTCGTGTCGTTTACATTCGATACCTTCATATTCACTTTATCTATGTCAAGGGTAGCTTATTTCCCGTGAGCTTAGGTGTATTTTCGTCAGGATAACTGGTGGTTCGCACAGCCGATATAAAATATATTCATGGACCGCCCAGCTTTCAGTAACTTCAAAGTAGTAGATGCACGGATAATGTTGGAACTTTGGTCGCTATGCTCACCCAACAAGAGTTACAGCCGGGGTTTGAGGGATCTAGCAGCGGGATGGGAGAAAATATGGCACACCCAAACACCCAAAATTCACTTTTAGTCTTTTGTCGTGGAATTGTAGGTTCATTTATTAATAATGACTATGAGGAACTGACTCAATACTCGCTTCTAGAGATCGGTAAAACGGACGAGGCTCCAGTTGAATTGCCAACCACCATGGTCATTATAGTGGCGAACGAGAATTCGACAGGCCGGTTTGGCCGTGCTTCCCAGTTGTTGTTTGGATAAGGTGACTCGGTACAAGGGATCCAATAACCCCAGCCTGATATGTCTGACTGAGGTCAGACGAGAGGCAGCCAGAGTTTGCAGCCACCAGGCCTGATGGTGGTTTACGAAGCTGGGGCGATGACGATGACGCCAGCCAGCCAAAAACGGTTTTACTTACAGCATCCATGACCATTTTACTGGGTACCCATGCAGTCCGCTTGGGGGAAGAAAAAAACTGAATGGGGATCCTTCTGTTTCGGAAGTTGGATCGACCTGCCGATCCGGCGCTATTCGCTAGTAGGTAAGACGTCGGTCTTTACAGAACGAACCTTAACGAACCGCTGGGGCGGATGATGACGATTGATATTCGGATGGGATGGCCATGGGCCAGGAGGAGTGGCCTGGAGGGTGGGCAGATGCGACGTTTCCAGGTGGTACAGGCCTCTGTATTCAAAAGCACGATGAGGTGGCCCCTTATCTCTGTCCAAACAACGAATTGGAATATTGAGTTGATCGTACTGTAATTGGACGGCCGTCCTTTACTTTCTTGATTTGCAACAAAGTCACTCACCGGGAAATATGATGCTGCCCCGCTGTCCACGGGTCGTCTGTTCAAGCTTTCGGGGTTGCGAGAATTTACCTCCGCCTTCGATTAGCATTCTGCGGGTGCATACAACCAAAGTCCGGCTTACATGATTGACGACGCGGCCCTGAGCAGTGGCGACGGCCGCGCTGTGATGGTGATGATGGAGGTGACAACGTGGTGGCGGTGAAAGGCACAGCCATGATCCCTCCCGCAACTGCCGTAAGGTGGGTAGATGTCATCTCCACGGATTGATGCTACGTTCGAATGGCTTGATGCTTTCTTTTTCTCTGGTCCCCATGCTTCTGGACCGCCATGTTTACGCAGCATTGGCTTGGCTCAAGGAACTTGAAGCCACTTGGGTCGGCTGCAACGCGCCATTGGCTGGAGGCGGCAGAGGGACACCTACGCTACACGTGCAGCTCATCCACTGCTGCTGCGATGGACATGACGGATTCCGTGACTACTGATGCGTCTTGTTCTAGGCAAGAAGCCGGTATTTCCCCCTGGCTCGGAGCGTATTGCAGCCAGAAGTACCCGACCTTTGATAAATGTGTGTGCGTATTAGAAGATGAGCACAGCTGCAGGACGACGGCAATGGGCGGGCGGCAGGCGCTGTAAGTCATGTACCCGCACCCACCCTGTACCTGTACCTACCTAGACACCCTTGAAGGTACCAGTACCAGTACACAACAGCCCACTGTACTTGAGCCCCGCCTCCATGACCTAAGCCAACCGCATCACATCAATGGATCCTTCATCAGGCCTCCTTCCCTCTGGCTGTCTGCTGCTACTGCCCATCTCCACCGAGCCTGGCCTCAACTCTGGGTTAGTTATCTCTAGTCCCAACGTCGGCAGCAGATAAAACCATCATAGCTCGCCCAGTTGCCCAGGGCCGTCCCCAGAGCCTGCCAGGTGCCCTCCAAGACTCGTTGCTGTCGCCTGGGCCGTCTGCCCCTCGAGCCTCTTCCCCCCTCCCCTCCCCTGGTCCACTCTGCATTGTCTGGCCAGCCACCTTTCTCGAGGCGGTGACGGCATCACATCACTCAACTCTATCCATTGACCACCCAACCCTAATTTCTCGGCGCCCAGCATGTCGGACACCGGCGAGAGGTAAGTTCACCACGACCCGCCCCCAAGGCCCAAACCTAAACCCAAACACGAACAACCGACACAAGCCCCAAGTGTATCGAGCTATTGCAGAATTGGAGCTCCATGCTCCCATTCTTCCCATCAGCTGTCGTGTCGTCACTCCACCCCTCCAGCCCCTTTCTTGGCTGTCTTTGCCTAGCTCAACCTCATTCGCCCGCCCCCTCCAACCCCAACCCATCGTGGACGTGAAGGCCAAGAGTCTAGCTGGGTAGCTAATT